GTTCTAGCAACAATGGGAGTTCTAGTAACAACGGGAAATCTAGCAACAACAAGGTAGTTGCAACAACTGGAGATCTAGCAACAACGGGAGACCCAATAATAACGGGAGTTCTAGAAACAACTGTTGTTATAGCAACAACGGGAGTTCTAGATACAACGGGAATTCTAGCAACAACGAGAGTTCTAGCAACAATGGGAGTTTTAGCAACAACTGGAATTCTAGAAACAACTCGAGGTATAGCAACAACTGTTTGTCTAAAAACAAACAACAAGGTTCTAGCAACAACTGGATATCTAGCAACAACAAGGTTCTTGCAACAACTGAAGTTCTAGAAATAACAGGAGATTTATCAAAAACAAAGTTATAGCAACAACTGGAGTTCTTGCAACAACGAAAGTTCTTGCAACAACGGGAGTTCTATCAACAACGGGAGTTCTAGCAAAAAAAGGTTCTAGCAACAACTGGATTTCTAGCAACAAGTGGAAATCTAGCAAAAACAAGGATCTAGCAATAACTGGAATTCTTGTATCAACGGGAGTTCTAGCAACAACGGGAGATTTAGCATTAACAAAGTTCTTGCAACAACGGGGGTTGTAGCAACAACGGATTCATAGCAACAACTGAAGTCCTAGCAACAACAAAGAGTTCTAAAAACAACGGGTGTTCTAGGCAAACTGTAGTTCTAGCAACAACGGGAGTTCTAGCGACAACGGGAGTCCTAGTAATAACGGGAGTTCTAGAAAAAACTGGGGTTCTAAAAACATCGGAAGTTATAGCAAAAACGGGAGATCTAGCAACAACGAGAGTTCTAGCAACATTTAGATTTCTGGAAACAACTGGAGTTCTAGCCACAATTTGAGTTTAAGCAACAACGGAAGATCTATAAATAACAATGTAGTAGCAACAACTGGAGATCTAGCAACAACGGCAGTCCTAGTAATAACGCGAATTCTAGAAACAACTGGTGTTATAGCAACAACGGGAGTTCTAGAAACAACATGAGTTCTAGCAACAACCAGAGTTCTAGAAACATAGGCAGTTCTGCCAACAACTGGAGTAATAGAAACAACTTGAGTTATAGAAACAACAGGAGATCTAGCAACAACTCGAGTTATAGCACCAAATGGAATTCTAGCAACAAAGGGAGTCCTGACAACTAAAGTTCTATCAATAACTGGAGATCTAGCAACAACAGAAGTTTTAGAAACAAAAAGGTTCTAGCAACAACTAGAATTCTAGCAACCACGGGAGTCCAAGTAACAACTGGAGTTCTAGCAACAAGTGAAGATCTAGCAACAACAAGGATCTAGCAACAACTGGAGTTATTGTATCAACGGGAGTTCTAACAACAACAGTAGTCCTAGTAATACCGGATGTTCTAAAAACAAATGAAGTTCTTGCTTCAACGAAAGTTCTAGCAACAACGGGATATCTAGCAACTTCTGGAGTTCCAGCAACAAAGAGAGTTCTAGCAACAAAGAGATTTCTAGCAACAACGGGAGTATTAGTAATAACAAGAATTCTAGAAACAACTTGATTTCTAGAAACAACGGTAGTTATAGCAATAACTGGAGTTCTAGCAACAACAAGGATCTAGCAACAACTGGAGTTCTTGTAACAACGGGAGTTTTAGCAACAACGGGAGATTTAGCAATAGCAAAGTTCTAGCAACAACTGAAGTTCTTGCAAAAACGGAAGTTCTAGCAACAACGGATTCATAGCAATAACTGAAGTTCTAGCAACAACCGGACTTCTAGAAACAACGGGTGTTCATGCAACAACGGGAGTTCTAGACAAACTGGAGCTCTAGCAACAACGGGAGTCCTAGTAATAACGGGAGTTCTAGAAAAACGGGAGTTATAGCAAAAACGGGATATCTAGTTACAACGAAAGTTCTAGCAACAATGGGAGTTCTAGAAACAACTGGACTTCTAGCAAAAATTTGAGTTCTAGCAACAACGGGAGATCTAGCAACAACAAGGTAGTAGCAACAACTGGAAATCTAGAAACAACGGGAGTCCTAGTAATAACCTAGTTCTAGAAACAACTGGTGTTATAGTAACAACGGGAGTTCTAGAAACAACGGGAGTTCTAGCAACAACGGGAGTTCTAGCAACAACGAGAGTTCTAGTAACAATGGGAGTTCTACCAACAACTGGATTTCTAGAAACAATTCGAGGTATAGCAACAACGGGAGATCTAGCAACAACTCGAGTTATAGAAACAACTGGAGTTCTAGCATTAAAGGGAATCCTAGCAACAACTGGAGTTCTAGCAAGAACTGGAGATCTAGCAACAACAAGGTTCTAGCAACACCTGAAGTTCTTGCATCAACGGAAATTCTAGCGAAAACGGAATTTTATCAACAACAAAGATCTAGCAACAACTGGAGTTCTAACAACAACAACGGTAGTTCTAGCAAAAAAAGGTTCTAGCAATAACTGGAGTTCTAGCAACAATGGGAGTCCTAGCAACAACTGGAGTTCTAGCAACAAGTGAAGATCTAGCAACAACAAAGATCTAGCAACAACTGGAGTTCTTGTATCAACAGGAGTTCTAGCAACAACGGGAGATTTAGCAATAACAAAGTTCTAGCAAAACTTAAATTCTTGCAACAACGAAGATTCTAGCAACAACGGGAGTTCTAGCCACTACTGGAGTTCTAGCAACTACTGGAGTTCTAGGAACTACTAGAGTTCTATCAACAACGGGAGTTCTAGAAAAAACTAAAGTTCTAGCAACAACGGGAGTTCTAGCAACCACGGGAGTTTTTGCAACAACAGGAATTTTTGCAACAACTGGAGCTCTAGGATCCACTGGAGTTCTAGCAACAACGGGAGTTCTAGCAACGACGGGAGTTCTGGCAACAAATAGAGTTCGGGGGATCTAGCAAATACAAAGTAGTAGCTACAACTGGAGATCTAGCAACAACGGGAGTCCTAGTAATAACGGATGTTCTAAAAACAAATGAAATTCTTGCTTCAAAGAAAATTCTAGCAACAATTGGAGATCTAGCAACTTCTGGAGTTTTAGCAACAAAGAGAGTTCTAGCAACAACTGGAGTTCTTGCAACAACGGGAGTCTTAACAATAACTTAAGTTCTAGCAACAACGGGAGTTCTAGCAATAACGGGAGTTCTAGAAACAACTGGAGTTCTAACAACAACTAGAGTTATAGCAACCACGGGAAATCTAAAAACAACAAGGTTCTAGCAGCAACGGGAGTTCTAGCAACAACTAGAATTCTAGTAACCACCGGTGTTCTTTCAGCAACGGGAGTTTCTGCAACAACTAGTGTTCTAGCAATTACGAGAGTTCTAGCAAAATCGTCAGTTCTATAAACAACGAGAATTGGAGCATCAAATGGAGTTCTAGCAACAACTGAAGATCTAGCTACATAAACGTACTAGCAACGACAGGAGTTCTAGCAACAACTGGAGTTCTTGCAACCATGCGAGTTTTAGCAACAACGGGAGATCTAGCAACAAAAAGTTTCTATAAACAACTGGAGTTCTTGCATCAACGAAAGTTCTAGCAAAAAGTGAAGATCTAACAACAACAAGGATTTTAACTACAACACTTTCAAATCGCTGCAGATTTTCCAACCGTATCTTTCATATTCTTTTTCAAAAGCAGTTTCATGTTTTTGTAAGTCTCTTTCATGTTGGATGCATGTGCTATTGACTTTATGGGAACTTATTTTTGTTGTGAAGGAGAACACCTTTCAAACTAATTTTTGAAAAATCAACGAATAAACGCCACTCTTCTGTATCATGGTCATGAACAAGCGTCTCCATTAGACTAACAACATCATTGCAATATACTAAATCATTCTCTTGTGAAAAGAAGCCTTGAAATTCATTTTGACGCTCGCGAAAAAAGCATACTTTGTGCCTTTCAACCTAGAGCCTAAAATTTCACTCTGTTTTTTGGGTATATCTAAATCAGGAACGAGGTCGTTCAAATCTCCTTGAGTTAACAAATGAGGTTCAGATGAAGCAGCTGTTTCAAAATTTGTGTCATCCGACTGTGGCTTTCTTCCTCTATCTGACTCATCGTCACTAAATATTACATTTTCAGGAGGCTGTGTCACAGGTAAAATATCACATAAGGAACCGGTCTCAGGCAAATATGGATATTTATGGATATGTTTATTTCTCAATTTGTATTTCTAGCGGCTATCATATTTGTTACAAATTTGTATATATCTTGGATCTCAATGTACGTCTATATAATTGCACGCATCTCATATCACACTTGTCTTAACGCCCGTTGAAGAAAGAATTTGTTCGAAAGCTAGCGAAATATACATGTTTTATAGAAGAAGCTCCTTTTGAATATATAATCTTACAATATAGTAATGGTTATCAAAGGTTAATGTCGATGCCCTGAATATACTATGGCAGGCAGATTATGGGTGTTTAGAGAACTTATGGACATAAACTGATAGGTCTGTAGAGGTGATACATATAATTACAATAAATTTCATTGAGCAATGGTCTTCCGCAAAAAATGGTTTCTAATCAAAGCTATTTTTAGCAATTTATGTTTAAATTTCAATTATAATCTATCGTTTGAAATTTTAAATAATTATTTTATTGTATTATTGTCATTTTTATCGAACTTTTAAATACCAATTTTATTTGAGGGTTCATTCAAGCGTTTTCTACTTTGATTAGAATATTTTACGTTGGAATCTGTATTCTGTAATGGCAAAGGGATATATCGATTTATCAGTGTGAAGTTCGGATATGCTATCTTATTTTTTAAAGTTTTTAATTGCAATTTTTCGTTTTTGTTTTCCTCTAAATACTAATATAACACATGTCCGCGAGATTATTGTTCTTGTAGATAATAAAATATCTGGTTAAAATGCGAAATGAGGGCAAAATTGAAGTAAAACAACTATTAAAATATACAAGTATCAGAGTCATCAATCAATTCTGTCATCGTTTGCTTTTGTGAATGGAATAAATACCCAAATATGGCCATTTCTAATAAGCATCGGTGGTTCAGTGGTAGAATGCTCGCCTGCTATTGCTATATGCTTCGATTCCCGGCCGATGCATTTTTTGTTACAATTTTTAAAACTCATTTATATAGTATTCTATATACAAGTATCAGAGTCATCAATTCTGTCATCGTTTGCTTTTGTGAATGTATGTAAATAATGGATTTCATTATTTTTATTAATTTTTGTTCTGGCATTTATTTGTTCAAATCTCTTTTTAAAAATCGTTTATAATGCAGTCGCAATCATTAGCGAACACATATGTTTGCCTAATATTTCCATATGATATTTTATTTTTTTTGCAGAAAAATATTTACAGGCCAGTATTTTGGATTAATTTTTTTATAAACCTTTTTTTTTTTAATTCTTACTGAGAAGATGGGCATCGCAGTCAGGATTATTTACAGTCAGTCACTCAACTCAGGCAATTTCAAAGGTTAATGGGGGTTTGGTGGAAAAGCTGCCGTCTATTTAAACTATATTAATTTTGAAACAACTAAATGGATTGCAAAAAAATAATTAAATCAAATACCTAAACACTAAAATAATACAATTTTTGCCATTACACACTTTTTTTCCTGTAGTTTATGTGTTTCTTCTGTATTGCTATTCTATGGCACTTCTACTATTTATTATTGATGTACTTTCAGTATGAAGGATACTTCACTCGGGGGATTTCTCGGGCGAAGCCGGGTCATTTTTCTAGTTGAGATATATAAATCTAATTAGTATCATTTTTTATTATATTGTCACTGAATAATTTAAATAAATGGTTTATATGAATCTATCGTGATGCCCTTCGGCCTATGCAACGCCCCTGTAACATTTGAGCATTTGATGGACAAAATCTTAAGGGGATTGAAGTGGACGCAGTGCCCATGCTATCTAGACGACATTGTAGTATTCTCCAAAACGTTTGACGAACACTTGCACCGACTCAAAATTATCTTACAATGACTTAGCAATGCAGATTTGAGCCTCAATTCAAAAAGGTGTATTTTTGGAACCAAACGAATAAGAGTGTTTAGACATCTCGTCGATGGCAACGGCATCTATCCCGACCCTGAAAAGATAGAAGCTATCGCCAAGTTTCCGACACCACGATCTATCACTGAGGTGAGGAGTTTCATCGGCATTTGTTCGTAATTTCGCCGATTTATTGAACACTTCGCCGATAAAGCTGCCCCTCTCCATGAAATTCTCAAAAAAGACATTCTCTTGGAACTTAGAAGAACAAGAAGCTTTTGATTCACTGAAAAGGGCCCTAATGTCTGAACCTGTCTTAGCTCATTTTGAAGAACACCTGCCAACCCAGCTTCATACTGACGCCAGCGGTTATGGTATCGGAGCAGTCCTCGTTCAGGTCCATGACGGGAAAGAGCGACCAGTGGGTTACGCCTCAAGAACCTTAACAAAGGCAGAGAAGAATTATTCGACTACAGAGAATTCCTGACCGTGATATGGGCAATAAACAAATTCCGCCCCTACCTCTTTGGTCGCGAGTTCGTCATCGTTATGGATCCCCACGCCCTTTGCTGGTTATCAAATTTGAAAGACCCAACAGGAAGACTGGCGAGGTGGGCCATTAAACTCCAAGCATACGACGTTACGTTAGCTTATAAAAGCGGGCGTAAGAACCAAGACGCAGACTGTCTCTCTCTAAGTCCTTTCGAGAGCAAATCGGAAGAAGCAGATGATGATGATGATGATGTACTATCAATAACTGCTCTGACCTGCTTTGATACTGAACAGAAAAATGACCCTAGAATTAGAAATTGATAGAAGAAATAGAAGAATCCGGAGACGAACCAAGAGGATATGAACTCGTGAAAGGAACCTTGTACAAAAGGAACTTCGACCCCCTGGGAAACCCACACCTCCTCGTCATCCCCAAGCACCTACGATTGGAACTACTGAGAAGCCTACACGACGCTCCTACAGCGGGCCACCTAGGATTTTCTAAAACTTATGAGAGGGTTAGAAACAAATACTTTTGGCCAGGACTTCTCAAGGATATACGAAAGTATGTAGCACATTGCAAAGAATGCCAAAGAAGAAAACAGACAAACCACAAACCGCCTGGATTGCTCAAACCCATTCCTCCTGAAACCTTCCCATTCCAAAGAATCGGAATAGATCTTCTTGGGAGATTCCCGAAATCCCTTGAAGGTAATAAATGGATCATAGTTTGTACTGACTATCTTACTTGATTGGCCGTTACTAAAGCCTTACCCACATGGGAAGCAAAAGAAGCAGCCAAGTTCTTAATGGAAGATGTTGTTCTCAATCATGGAGCCCACAGAGAAATCATCACGGACCGAGGAAGAGTATTCCAATCCAAGTTGATTGCGGAACTCATTAATCAATGCTCGTCGATACATCGGTTCACGACAGCGTATGATCCCCAGACGAATGGACTGACGGAAAGGTTAAACAAAACCTTGGCCAACATGATCGCTATGTATGTAAGTGTTAAGGTACGCGAGGTCAGATTGAAGAAACCTCCTCTTAACAAGTAAAACTTTGACCTAAAGTTTTGATGTAGTTTGGGCTGCCTCAGGTGATCAAGCAAGAAAGAAAATAACGAAGACAAAAACCAGCGGCTACACACGTAAAGCTCTCGCTCTACTAAGAAACTCTTTATTTCAACAACACTGCTCAGTTATATACAAAATGGAAATTTACATAATAATAATCCATTCAAAATATATTTGACATAATAATAATTCATTTAAAAGAAATTTACATTCCAAGTCATACACTCAAAAATATATTTACATATTCCATGCCACGACTTTTAACATACCCCCACCTTTCTTTTTTGTAAAAAGAAAAAAATCCGTTCCACCGTGATGGGGGGATCCAGGCAGGTGGGACACCGTTGCAGGGAGCCCAGGCTCTCATCCAGGAAAACCATCCTCTCCTCGGCACACTGCGGCACCCTCTCCATACACACCACCGGAGGTTGCCCCATAAGCGTCCATCTTCTTCCTCCAAAGAAATCGGAGGTAGTCCCAATCATTTTCCCTAATGGCCATCACCTGGAAATAAATCCTCACGTCGGCCAAAACTCCGTACTTATTTTTCCGAAGTTTTATCCCTATTTCCGGGATTCTCCTCAGTAGATTGGGTATCTTTTTTAAATATCGTCTCAAGGATAGTCCGCTGCGTCCTCGACAGGGAGCGCCGTCACATACTGGCCGTAAAGGCGTCGTTTCGGACTCACACCCAAATACAGGGCGATCAGGAAACCAGTATCCTTTTCCCTCAGGTGGAATTTCATCAACTCCTTCGATGAACCCATCATTCAACCAATCCTTTGTATCAATAATCCCTTCCTCCATCCCTGATTCAGTACCTTGTTCTGCATCTGGGTTTTCTTCCACCCTTGAATCAGTACCCTGTTCTGCATCTATCTTTTCTTCCACCGCTGAATCAGTACCTTGTTCTACATCTAGCTTTTCTTCTTCAACCTTTGAATCAGTACCTTGTTCTACATCTAGCTATTCTTCTTCCACCTTTGAATCAGTACCCTAAGCTACTGCTCTAGAATTGCTCACCGGTTCATAACCTTTAATTGCAGTCTCAGAATCCTTTACTCCGTCGCCCTTAGGCTTCGCTTCAGAATCTTCCTTATCCTTTAAATTTGCCTCTTCATATTTTTCATTGGCATTATTTCTACCAAATTGCCCCCACCTTGAGAGCCAATCCCCTGGGTTGCCCTTAAGTTTTTGTAGATATCCCTTATTCTTTATTTTAGATTCCGTATCTCCAGTTGGTCTTGCTTCAGGATGATTTACTCCGTCGCCCTTAGGCTCATCTTCAGAATCCTTTACTCCGTCGCCCTTAGGCTCATCTTTAGAATCCTTTACTCCGTCGCCCTTAGGCTTCCTTAGAATCTTTTATCCCTTCGTCCTTAGGATTCGCTTCAGATTCCTTTACGCCTTCGCCCTTAGGCTTCTTCAACTTCTTTGCCTTTGAGCTCCTTTAAACCTTGAGCTTCACTGAGCTCTTTTTAACCTTTAACAAAGGGCCTTTTGAGCTCCTTTTAACCTTTAACAAAGCGCCTTTTGAGCTCCTCTAAACCTTGAGCTTCACTGAGCTCTTTTTAACCTTTAACAAAGGGCTTCTTGAGCTCCTTCAAACCTTTAACAAAGGGCTTCTTGAGCTCCTTTAAACCTTTAACAAAGGGCCTTTTGAGCTCCTTTAAACCTTGAGCTTCACTGAGCTCTTTTTAACCTTTAACAAAGGGCTTCTTGAGCTCCTTTAAACCTTTAACAAAGGGCTTCTTGAGCTCCTTTAAACCTTTAACAAAGGGCTTCTCGAGCTCCTTTAAACCTTTAACAAAGGGCTTATCGAGCTCCTTTAAACCTTTAACAAAGGGCTTCTTGAGCTCCTTTGCCTTGAGCCTCTTTAGCTTCTTTGCCTTTGAGCTTCTTTAGCTTCTTTGCCTTTGAGCTTCTTTAGCTTCCTTGCCTTGAGCTTCCTTAGCTTCTTTGCCTTTGAGCTTCTTTAGCTTCTTTGCCTTTGAGCTTCTTTAGCTCCTTTGCCTTTGAGCTTCTTTAGCTTCTTTGCCTTGAGCTTCTTTAGCTTCTTTGCCTTTGAGCTTCTTAAGCTCCTTTGCCTTTGAGCTTCTTTAGCTTCTTTGCCTTTGAGCTTCTTTAGCTCCTTTGCCTTTGAGCTTCTTCAGCTTCTTTGCCTTGAGCTTCTTTAGCTTCTTTGCCTTTGAGCTTCTTAAGCTCCTTTGCCTTTAAGCTTCTTTAGCTTCTTTGCCTTGAGCTTCTTTAGCTTCTTTTACCTTGAGCTCCTGTTACTCGGGAGACAGCGCCTACAGGTCTTCTCGCCTTCTGTTCCTCGGGAGACAGCGCCTACAGGTCTTCCCGTCTTCTCTACTTGACCAGCCCACGCAGCCCACCCGGGGACGCCACTAAATGTTAAGGTACGCGAGGTCAGATTGAAGAAACCTCCTCTTAACAAGTAAAACTTTGACCTAAAGTTTTGATGTAGTTTGGGCTGCCTCAGGTGATCAAGCAAGAAAGAAAATAACGAAGACAAAA